GGAAACAAACACATCCACTGAGCAACAAGGCGCTGTCACACCACTCCCTGCTCACTCATCTGCACTAGTTCCATCTACACGCAGCAGGTGAAGGGTTCTCCATCTCCAACAAGTGACTGAACACACCACGTGCCCGTACGTAGAAGTCGCAAGTTACCGAGCTAAACTCTGATCTGCCAAGAATTCTATGACAGAATTTAAGACAAGGCTTTGACACTTCCAGAAAACAAGGTGTCTAGCACTCTCGTGCTAAGCAGGAACTTCTAACTGTGCTGTGCTCATCTGAAAGCTGCAGTATTCCAACTGTTTGGATGGGATCGTTGCGGAGTAAGCCACAGACACAAATCTGGTGTGCTTGGGGACTGTGCGTGCTCAGGACCATACATCCCACCCAGGCAGGCAGAGCCCCTCAACACAAATCTCTAGCTGGAGGTGGAGAACGGCTTCCTTCATTTAATCAATTTTCACAACTTGTAACGTCCCTGGAAACACCTCTGAATCACGTTCTGCTTTAGTTCCACCCTGTGGGATACAGACATGAGAGGATTCTTACTGTTCTTCCAGCAGGCGGCTAAATTTCTGTCTTGCCAGATCCATTAGTCCATCCACCTCCTCCTTGGAGCGTTTAAAGTTCTCAATACTAAAGGCGTAAACGGTGACCTCCCGAATGCCCAGATTTAAGCACCACCGTAGTGTCTGCAAGACAACAAAATATAATGGAAAACAGAAGTCAGATAAACAGACTCAACCAGACAGGTCAGCAAGACCCAGCTTCTCCACGGCGAACACCTTCCTGTCATTGCCCACTACGCTACGACTGGATCAAAAGAAACAGCCATCAAGAGCTGACAATGAAACCCACTTGATGAGAATTTCAGATTCGTCTTAAAGAACAGGAGGAAAATATCACTACCCAAGGATGTGAATCCACAACAGATATGGCACTAATCCAGCCAGGGAAAGCACTTCTTGTAGATGACATTATAAATTATATAATACCGTACCCTTCAAAACATTTTCAAAGAAATTCAACTTGCTTCACAGAACTAAAAGCTTCAAGATCTGCAAGGCAGATATTTTAATCTAGTGTAAAACAGAGGGGAAAAAAATGGTTTACTAGAATGACTCTGCAAGATAACCGGAAGAGAGAGAGAGGAGCTGAAGCTGGGAACCTTGATGACTAACGTCAGCTCCAAGCTGTGCCTGGCTCCAGCGAAGAACAGGAACACAACGCTCCAGCCGAGCAGTAAACAAGTCAGCCGGTGAACACGGCTCAGACTTTCAACACACAACCGAAAGGCAGCAAACATCCTTCCCACCTGTGCCAGCTTATCAAAGCCTTGCGAATGCCCCTGCTGTCTCTCCACGTGGCACTTTTGGGCATAACGGCGATTGCCATCCATGATGAAGGCAACATGCTTGGGCATTGGACCTGCCTAGAAAACAAGGAGAAACACAGGAGACCAGGAAGCGAACAGCCAAGCTGGCATCTTGCATCGCAGAGTTTAGTCCCGCTGTTTGTAGGAGCGCAGGGTGTATCTCCCAGCTCCACCTCTGGAGCTGGAAACAGTAAGATGCTAATTACCTCCTTGCTATCCCCAGGCTCTCTAAAAAGCATGTCAGCAGTGACAATTGCCTCAACTGAAAAGCGCCTTTGCCCTCCCCGTTTCTGTCGCATGACAGAGACCTGCAGTACTCAGGAGAGAGAGCAGCACTGCCACAGCTACCGCTGCAGCCACGGGCGAGAGTGCACGCAGTTTTATGCTGCCGTAATTGTACGTATTTTTTATTTCAGAGTTCAAGGGCATTTTCACAGACACAATTAACTTAAAAGAAAAAAAGTCACGAGACTTTCCCCCACTTAAGAGGAGTATTCCTTTCCGCTGACCTCACTGGGTCTGCACAGATCCTTCTGCGAGAAGGACAGCATCACCAGTCTCGAGACTCTGCTGAGCAAGGACAGAATTTTCCTGGAACTGGCGAGTTATTATTCTACTCACAAACAACTCAGTTTCATTTCTTAGACTCATAATCCGACCATCTTGCTTCCCTCCCTCCTCCCATGCCCTGCCTTCCTCAGCAAGGGCACAAACCATGGAAGCCTGGGAGTGTAAGCTCATTATTGGCAAGCACTGCCTACAGCCCTGCTCATTTGCAAGACTAAGCTTAAGTAATTTTCCATCCTGAAATGCTGTTTAGGGATGTACATCCAGTGCCAGCATTAATATGTACCCTTGGCAGCAATGCCGTACTTTAGAGCAAAGCGGCCAGAGACAGTTTCGCTCCAAACCCTGATGACCCTGCCAATTCTTTACCGCAGGTAACCAAATCCATTCCTTACCTTAATGATGTTGGCACAAAATCTCTCTAGGATGGTCAGCTCGCCTTCTCTGATCCACGACATGTCTTACCGAGAGCTCCTTTTCTTTTTCACTGGGAAGACAAAAGTAAAGGGGTTAGAGGTACAGAAGATTCTGTCTGAGCCCAAAGCAACGCTACAAACCATCGCCTTGGAAAAATAAGCTTTGACACCCTTTTTATCATCTGCACAAGTACTTCGATAAGCAGACAACAGGGGAGCTCAGAAATGAGCTCTGGAGTTTTCCAGCTGTCTGTCACGAGAGTGGATTCTGCACTAGCTGGTAGCAAGAATAAAACCTTACTGCGTCTTCCAGCCAGACTAGCTGGTGAGTTAGTACAGACCCACAACTTGGGCTACCACCAGGCGAGTCACAGGGTGGCAGCAGCGCAAACCGACCTTCAATGCTTCTGCGTTGGAGTTCTTGGGGACCCTTCAAATGGAGCAACCACCTACATCACCCGCTACCCTGCACTAGTGTCACCGCTGACGTTCCTTTTCACGAGCAGGGAACTTTAGCCTCTGGAGCTGTAAAAATCTTGGGTTTTTTACCACGTTATCTGCACATCAAATACAAGCATCTGGTTTGAGCTAACAAGATACAAGAGTCTGCTGAACTTCCACGTTAATCTTCAGCTCTCTCAGCTAGGAACCCTGACAGACACGGGCGAAGCAGCTATGATGAGAGAGCTGCGGGGGCAACAGTCCAGGTCCCACCACCCGGTACTCACCCAGGGACCGAAGCAGGTTCACATTACACTGACTGCATTAATTTTCCGTATCGGCCTCCTCCCTTGGGAAGGGACGCCTCGCCACAAATGCGGCCACAAAACGTTAAGGCAA